GGAGTCTCCAGCTGCAAGAAGTATTTCTTTGATTGGGGGGGGGGGAAAGCCAGGGTCTGGCTGTCTGCGGGTCCCCGAGCAGGTCGAGGTCCTGGGCCAAACGGGCCCGCGAGCCGTGCCTGCGCGGCGCTTCCCGCCTCCAGCAGGCTCAGCGCCCCTTCCGCCCCAACCTCTTGCTCCGGCACGGCGCCTGCACCGCAGCCCCCTCCCCCGCCCCACCGCGGCCAGGCCCGCTCCGCCTCCCGCACCAGGCCCGCTCCCGGCAGGAACTCGGCGCGCACGTCGGCACGGCGCGCGGCGCCGCGGCCCCCCTCCGCAGCCCCGCTCGCCCTCCCCCGGCAGGCAGGCCGGCCCCCCCCTCCCCCGCAGCCGGCCCCGCTTCGCCCCTCCCCCGGCAGGCAGCGCACCCCTGCCGCCGTCGGCAGCCAGAGCGCCTTTGCCGACCTCGACCTCGTCCCTCCCTCGCCTCCCGCGTCTGGAGGTCGACCATGTTGTCGCGTCGCTGCCTCGCGGCTCGGTGGGTCTCCTCGGCCCCACTCCGCCGCGGCCTGCTCTGGCCCTCCCGGCCCCGTTTCTCCTCCGCCGTCGGCCCGCTCCCTCGTGCCGCCATCGACACCGTTGGCTTCTATATACAGCCCCAGCGCGGCGCGGCCCCGCAGCGTCGTTCCACCGCGGCGAGGGAGCCCCTTTTTGCCGGGTGGCCCTTCGTGGAGGAGCCATGACGAGCTTGCCGCTTGCAATTCGCACAGTCGCTGGAGGGATTGTCATGCACATCCGCGTGAAGGGGAATACGGCATGGCTCAGGCAAACTGGAAGGTAAGTGAACGTGCACGCCACGCGTCATGATCATAGAGTCATAGAGGGCCACGTGCGCGGATCAAGGCCCGTGGAATACCAGCCGAGATGCCTGCAGCCATAACGCTCTGTCCTTCATCAAATGGACCCGTGGCTTTGAAGCGGGCGATTTGAGACGTTCCTCTGTGTTCAGGCCGCCTGGCTCAGTTGTCCATCTTGGGTTGCCTTGGATCATTCTGGGCAACATTGCCTGGGGACCTATTGTGTGCTTTGGGGACAGCACAAAGTACGTCTTGGGGCAAACAACGCATCTGGTCGACTGCTGTTTTCCGTGTCATACTACGTGCAATTATGGATTTAAAAAGCGCATGGTTGGGTCATCATTCATTTTGTTGTGAAATTGCTTGATGTCATCAAGTTTGTTTTCATGCCACTGGCCACTGGTGTAATTAGTCAAGCTCCTCGGGCTGGAGTGGGAAAGGAATCCGCACTTGGACTGGACAATGGATCGGTCCCTTCCTTCTGCGAAGGCGAGCCCCCCACGGCGTTCCTTAGCTGCACACGGGAGACGGAGAACGAGGCAGATGAGACAACTTACGAGGACGAGGAGTGGGCGGAGCCGCCGGAGTACAAGGACAAGGCGGACAACACCATAATGATAGCTAGGACGTTGAGGAGGATAGTGATGATGATGATGAGGAGGAGGGAACGGCGACGAACACTTGATACTAACTCAGAAGGAGGAAGGGGAGTAGGAGGAGTAGGAGGAGGAGGAGAAGTAGGAAGAGGAGGAGGAGGAGGAGGCGGAGGAGGAGGAGGAGGAGGAGGAGGAGGAGGAGGAGGAGGAGCATTATTATGACGATGAGGAGTGGGAGGGACAAAGAGGAGGAGGAGGAGGTTCAGAACGAGGAGGAGCTGAAGGATGAGGAGCAGCAGCAGCAGGAGCAGGAGGATAACCATGATGAGGAAGGAGGGATATATAAATTGGAAGAGACGGAGATTGATGATGAGGATGAGGAGTAAGAGGAGGAGGAGCAGGAGGAGGAGAAGGATGAGGAGCAGGAGGAGGAAGAGGAGCAGGAGGAGGGAGAAGGGAGAGGGAGTAGGAAAATGGAGCCGAGAGGGAGAATGTATGTGGCGAGGAGGAGACGGGAGGGAGGCAGGAGGCCAAGGGGAGGAGGAGGAAGACGGGAGGAGGCAGGCTTATGGTAGAAGGAGGAGACAGAAGGGATGATGAGGGGCGAATGAGGAAGGAGGCGTGAGGAGGGAGGATACAGGGGGGATGGGAGAGGCGAAATGAGAGGGGAAGGGGGGGGAGAGATGGGGGAGGCAGGTGAGGGAGGAGAGAGCAGGGATCTGGTAGGGCGGAGGGACGAGGGGGGCAGGAAGGTAGAGGGAGAAAGAAGGAGGGATCTGGGCGGAGGGAACAGGTAGAGGAATGTGGGTGGGAGTCGGAGGGGGCACGATAAAGAGGATGTTGAAGAGGATCGGAGCAGAGGGAAACACAGCCGACCGTATCGCTTTCGGCCGCCGAGGGCGATCTCGGCCAGATCGACGAGGTGAAGGATCAGAGCTATATCGTGAAGCTGAAGCCCCGGCTCCCGAGCGCTCCGACCATGTCAAAGGATGGCGCTTCTTCTCAGGGTGCCCGAAACTCAGACTCCAGTCCCTCCTTCGCCACGGGCAAGTCGAGACGGCAGAAGGTTTGCTCAAAGTGTTTTGGCCCCTGGATGTCCGTTTCGGGCCCAGGGACCGTTAGTGACGACCCGGGACCGAAGCACTTGTCCTCAGGACCTGAAGTGATTGAAGGCATCCCTTGGCATTACCAGGCACCCGAAGACTTGTGGGGGCAGTCGGGAGATGTTTTCGAGCGCCTCCCGCTGGGGACGCCTCGCGGGGTGGGCAGGGGAGCACCGGGGATGCGGTGAGCGGGGTAATGGCGTGCAGAAAGCATGCGGTACTCACCGAGCGCGTTCCACTGCTCACAAAGTATCTACTTGCAAACGGTCGACAAAAACACGTTTTCCTCGATGTAGTGCATCGTAAGTCCGCCGCGGCTGATCCGGGCCATTTGTGAGTAGTGATTTTGCGAGTAGCTGAACGCGCTTGATTAGGCGCCCACACGGCGCATGGGAAGACATGGGACGGCGGAGCACGACGAGGAGCAGGAGGAGCAGGAGGAGGAGGAGCAGGAGGAAGAGGAAGAGGAGGAGGAGGAGCAGGAGGAGGAGAAGGATGATGATGATGATGATGATGATGATGATGATGATGAGGATGATGATGATGATGATGATGATGATGATGATGATGATGATGATGATGGTGATGGTGATGGTGATGGTGATGGTGATGGTGATGGTGATAATGATGATGCTGATGATGATGCTGCTGATGATGCTGCTGCTGCTGCTGATGATGATGATGATGATGATGATGATGATGATGATGATGATGATGATGATGATAATGGGGAGGAGGATGATGATGATGATGATGAGGAGGAGGAGGAGGAGGAGGAGGAGGAGGAGGAGGAGGAGGGCAAGGTCCTTCCTTACTCCTCCATTTTCGGGCTTCCGTGCTGTGCGGTCGCGGCCCACCATGGACGCGAGGAGGGGGCGCATGAGGAGGAGCGAGGAGGGAGGAGGAGGAAGAGGAGGAAGAAGCGAGGATAATGGGACAAGGAAGGGAGGAGGAGGGGTAGGATGGGAAGGAGGCGCGCGGCAAACAGCCGCTCCCCAGATGGCGCAGGGGAAGCAGGACAGAGCAGGCGAGCGCTTTCTGGGGGCGCGGGCTCAGCATGGGCGCGGTCTCGGCATGCGTTCCCTGTCGCGGCGCTCCCCCCCTCCCCGGCGGCAGGCCGAATCTGCGAATTTGCGATTCATTGGCTTACGCCGCACCGCCGACTCTTTGGGGCGGCAGCAATCGTCCCCCGCGTGGCCTGTCCCGATAGCCTGTGAGGCCCCTCTAGACACGTTTTGGATCCCCCTTAGGACCGTCTTGCTGTTCCCCTGGGCCGTTGCTATGGTTTCTGGGGCCTTCGTGGGGCGCCCGGAGGCCGTCGTGGAGCCATTTGGAGAGTCTCTTGGGGTGCCAGAAGTGGATCTTATCTTGTAGGTTTACTGGGCCGTTGTGGGCCTCGTGGAAGCCCAAGAAGGGAACATGGTGAAAATGTACGCTTTCCCAAGGGACTGGGGCGGTTTTTGCTTCTGGAGGCCTGCTTGGAGCGCCTCGTGGTCGCGTATGCAAACGTCTTGGACGCCCATGGGGCTGTCTGGAGGCATCTTGGGCGGTTTGGACCGAATCGTCCCTTGCGTGGGCCGTCCGGACAGCCTTTGGGAGCCCTCTTGGCCCGTTGTGGGCCCCTCTTGGGGCCGTCCTGCGGATTTTCTCGGCCGTTGCTATAGTTTCGGGAGCCTTCGTGGATCGCCCAGAAGCCGTCTTGGAGGCTTTTTGGGAGCCTCTTCGGGTGACAGGGGTCGATCTTTGAAGTTTATTGGGCCGTTGTGGGCCTCGTGAAAGCCCAAGAAGCGAATGTGGTGAAAATGTACGTTTTACCGGAGGAAGGGGACGGTTTCTGCTTTTGGAGGCCTTGTTGGTGCGCCTCGTGGTCGCGTTTTCAAACGTCTTGGACACCCATGGAGCCGTCTGGCGGCGACCTTGTGCGGTTTGGACCGAATCGTCCCCCGCGTGGGCCGTCCTGACAGCCTTTGGGGGAACTGTTGCCCCGTTTTGGAGCCCTCTTGGGACCGTCCTGCGGCTTTTCTAAGCCGTTGTTATGGTTTCTGGGGCCTACGCGGATCGCCCGGACGCCGTCTTGGAGCCTTTTTGGGAGCCTCTTGGGCTGGCGAGGGTCGATCTTGGAGGCTTCTTGGGCCGTTTTGCGCCGCGTGGAGGCCAAATGGGCGAACGTGGTCAAAATGTTAGTTTTCCTTCAAGAAATGGGACGATTTTTGCTTCTGGAGGGCCTCTTTGGGGCGCCTCGTACTATTGTTTCAAGCGTCTCGGGGACTTATGGAGCCGCGTTGAGGCAATCTTCGGCGTTTTGGGGCGATCTTTCGTCGATTCGTAGCTCTCTTGGACCGTTCCGGGAACCTTTGGAACCTTTTTGGCCTGTTTTGGGGTCTCCTGAGGCTCCGAGTGTGCGGATGATGGATTTGCCTCCCACCCACCCCCCTTCCAAACCGGCCGGACCACGCCCCCGGGGGGGGGTTTGGGGAGGGGGAAGCATCTCACACGCCGTGACCCCAAGGGGTCGGCGGATTTCGGAGGTACGCGAGGATCCGGATGCCATCGTATGTGTTTGCACAAGCGTTCCAGTTTTGACGTCCCCGTGTGATGCCACACCTGCAACGAACGTTCGAACATTCGCTTCCCGTTCTTGCCAGGTCAGGTTTCGGAGGCACGCGAGGATTCGTATGCCATCGTATGCCTTGGAACACTGCTAGGATGAGTACGCGTGTGAGCGTTTTTGGTCTCCGGCGTAGCGCTCGCTACCCGGGCCAGGCCTCCCCCCTCCCCCCCGGGTAGCGCTAGCGATCGCGCTGGTGGGGGAGGGGGGGCCTGGCCTGCTCCCCTGAGGTATGTTGCTGTGCTCACAGGCATGGCGTGGTCTGAACGGCACGCATTGGTGCTCACAAACGTGTTGTGGCGTTCGAAGTCGTCGTCGTCGTCGTCGCCGTCATCGTCGCCTTCGTCGTCGTCGTCGTCGTCGTCGTCGTCGTATTCGTCTTCGTCGTCGTCGTCGTCGTCGTCGTCGTCGTCCAATGCAGCTGGCGATGGCTCAGCTACCGCAGGCTGGTTCGAGCTACCGCAATTGCAAAATGCGGTGGTTCTCTCTCTTCCTTCTGGCCGGTGCGCAGTGCGATACAGTCTACGCGCCTAAAAAGGACGCGCGCCTTCTCCAGGGTACCCTTGTGTCCTTGCCTCGGGGGCCTGTGCTTTACCGCTTTCAGTGGCCAGCGTTTGCAAAACAAAATCCCAACTTCGGCTTCCAAGGGTCCTGCGTCCTTACCATTCGTCCTTAATGCATGAAGAAATTGTAGACCCAGCGCCATTGAGAAGATGAAAACTGGGCGGCCCCGCGCCTTCTCCCGCGGGCGCTGTGGTGCGCGCAGGCGCTGTGGTTCACGCAGGCAGCGGGGTGCACACCGGCGCTGCGTTGCACACGGTTGCAGCGGTGTGCGCAGGCGCTGTGGAGTACGCAAGCGCTGTGGTGCACGCAGGAATTGTGGTGTACACCGACGCTGTGTTGCACGCGGCTGCTGTGGTGTACACAGGCGTTTTGGTGTACGCAGGCGTTGTGGCGCACGCGTGTAGAATCCTCAGGCGTTCCAATTTCCACAGGGATTCTTACAAAACGTATATATATATAACGTTCGTTTTCTGTGGAATCCAGAGGAACCCCGATTTCCGGAGGGATTCTTTTATCAAAAAGCTGTTGTGTAAAATCCAGAGGAGCTCCGCTATCCATACCGTTACATATATATATATATATATAGATATATACGTATATATTACGCAGAACACAAATTTTGGGGCAGAGGATATTCCGGGCAAAGCTACCGTAGAATCTAGCAGTGGTCCGCTTCGTGTACGCCCGCCTGCACTACAAGAACATCGTGTTACATAATTGGGCAACGCTACAATACCTGAAGTACGTACTTCCTTATCTACTCCTTCGCATTGTCTTTCACAGTTATCTCCCGCATTCTGTTCTTGTTTGCCATTCCGGAGCTGTGTTGAGAGGCGAACGGTGGGTAGCACCAGTGCGAGGCCTACCAGCACCCCGCGAGCCTTCGCATCAAAACGTAGTTGTTCCCCACTCCTGGAACAATCGATCGGGACCTGAGGACCTGGAACGTGGAAGGTTTGGTAAAAGACGCGGCAAAACGACCATAGGTACAACATTATATTGCGAAGCACAATATTGCAGTTTCATGTATGCAAGAAACGGGGATCACAACGCATACTGAGAACATCGATTCCAACTACATGTTTATACTATCCAGGACGTCAAAGCCACATGGTGAGGGCCGGTTTTACTTTGGAGTCGGATTCTTGATAGCACCTTGGGCCATCAAGTCCATCATCAGCTACACATTGCTTTCAGACAGGCAAGTGGTCCTGAAGCTCAAGATCCTTGGCTGCATACTCAATATCCTTACAGCTTGCACGCCTCATGGAGGTTACGATTGCGAAGAGAGGCGCGAGTTTCCGACCAGCTCACGAAGGCCTGGCCAGCGCCGAACAAGCACACCACCACTATCGCATGCGGTGACTTCAGTGCGAGGTTATACGACCGGGAACCTGGGGACGAAGATATCATAGGCGAGTTCTTCCTGAAAAGCAGGTGGCCACGACAAAGAGCATACTTGAATAGGGACTCGTCGTTGGAACCCTGCCAGGCGACATCTACCGCAATCGCCAACAAATATTTTGAACCGTCCTGGGAAAACCTTGCTACATATTATGGGATGGAGGTGGACAGGACGAGTCCAACAGGAGAAGGTCTTGCTCACATTGACTACTGCCTGGCTGACCACAGCACGATTGGGGGAAATGACAAACATATGGGCAGGTCGGACAATCATATTGGGTTCGTGACATTTTCTACTACGTATGCTTTTGGATCTCCAATTCGATACTACACACAAGAAGCATTGCAGAAACATATACCGCCTGAACACGCTGATGGTGGACGGCAGCGCTGCTGGATATTTTTGTTGCCGCTTCGTCGAGGCAGCGGTGGTGCCAACGACTCCCAATATTTTAGATTCGCATGCCAAGCACATCGTCGACGCAATGGTATATGCTGCAGAAACAATCAAGGAACGTGGGAGGGAACCCAGACGACCATGGATCTCCCAAGCTACGCTGGATTTGTTGACCGAGAGGGATGTTACCCAATCAAAGGGCAACTTGTTGGAATAACACAGACTCACAAGACTTATCAAGGCATCTGTGAGGAGAGACAAGAATAAATGCTTGGATTCACACTTGGTTGGTGGAAAATGGGCAGCTGTACGGGCCGTCGGGAAAAGACCCCCCAAGAAACAAATACAAATTCTAGACGTTTCGCGTAACCCCACGACCCATTCAGAAAGGATGCCCAGAGGAAGTGCCTCGATCAGGGAAGTGGGCAGCACACAAAGGAAGGGTCCCCCAGTGGAGTCCTCTTGGAGCGTGTTGGGGGCCTCTTGGCGGTCCCGGACGCTTCTTAAAGCGTCTTGGGTGCTTTGGACAGTTCCATGGGGCCTCTTGGGGGTCTCTTGGGGGCCTCTTGGAGGCCTCTGGGGCGCCTGTTGGGCCCTCCTGGGCGCCTCTTGGGGCCCTCTTGAAACGCTCCTGGGAGCCTTGGGAGCGCTCTTGGAGCCCTCTTGGGCCATCTAGGAGTCATCGTGAAGCCTCGGATGGCCATCGGAAGTGAAAAGGCGAGAAAGCCCAAAACATTGATCCCGCCAAGGTTTTTGAAGGATTTTGGCTTGTCCAGGGCCTCCTGGGGGACCTCTTTGGCCACTTGGAGCCGTCTTGAAGCGGTCTTGGGGCCTCTTGGCGCCTCGTGGGAGCCATCTGAAGGCATCTAGGGATATCTTGAGCCATCTTGGAGGTCATCTTGGGCTCTCCCAGGCGCTCTTGGAGCCATCTGAAGCAGTGCCCCCCCCCCCCCCCCCCCCAGGAGGCCCAAATGTGGCCAAAACCTTGGTCACATCAGTGATTTTGGCAGTCTCGCCGAGGCCTCTTGGAGCGTCTTGGGTGCCTCTAGGGGGCCTCTTGGGGCCTCTTGGGGGTCTCTTGGGGGAGCCTCTTGGGGGCATCCCGGGGGCCTCTTGGGGCCATCTTGGAGGAGGGCGATCACAGGAGGGGGGGGGGGGGGCTGAATTAGCCCCCCCCCCGAGAGGCCAAAATGGAACCACAACCCCAGTGACACCAATGATTTTGGCTTCCTCGCCGAAGCCGTTTTGGACGCTCCAACGCGTCGCGGAACCCCCCTATATGCCGCGACTGGAAAATCCAACTGTATCAAGCAGTTGTCTTGCCCAAGCTGCAGTATAATTTAGAAGCTGTTTGGTCCTTGCAAGCTGACAGAGCCCGATTAGACAGCTTCCATGTGCAATGTCTGCGAAGTATTTTCAGAATTCCGTCTGCGTACGTGCCCAGAGTTTCTAACAAGGAAGTCCTAGAACGCTCGCAGGAGCCGCCGCTGAGCGAGACGCTCCGTGATCGACATGAATGTGTATAGGAAGATTTCGGCACTCCCGGAAGATAATCCCCTCAAGTTCATTACGTGTGAGCCCGGCGCAAGGTTGCCTAGGCGATGGGCGCACAAAAGGAAGAGAGGGAGACCCAAACAGCAATGGGCTTCCAGCCTCTATTCGCTTTTGCCAGCAGGCGTGCTCTGATTGTCTTCGGCGCTCTCCCTCCTCTCCTCGTCCCTCCTCCCTCCTCCTCCTCCTTCTCCTCCTCGTCGTCCTCCTCCTCCTCCTCCTTCCCGCTTGTCCTCACAGGTGAAGCCGATACGTTTTCACGGAATTTCGTATCGCATCAACTGTCTCGCGACACTGCGCTGTTCTTTTTTTGTATTTGCCAGTGCGCCGTTCGAGCGCAAGGCTCGACCACTACGATTTCTATATAAAAGTTGGGTCTTGTAGAATCCAGACCCGCTCTGTTTTCCATCGGGCATCTTTCAATATTCCTATGATGAACAAGGGTCGTCTGTAGAGTCTTATTATCAACGACGGTTGCTGCAGTATGCACGGGCATTGCGGTGTGCATGGGCGACGGCGTTGCAGTGCACGCGGCTGTTGTGGGGTACGGGGGCACTGTGACGTGTGCACAGGTGGCGCTGCTTTGCGCGCAGGCATTGGGCAGTGTCGTGTACACGGGCGATTGATTGCGCCGGTGGCGGGCGCACGCCGCGGCCGCCGTTGCCGTTACCCTCCCGCCCTCCCCCTTCCCCCCCCAGGGGGTAACGGCCGTTACCTGGGAAAAAGAAAACATGGTCACTGTGTGTGTGTGAGTGAGTGTGACTGTGTGTGTGTGTTTGTGTGTGCGTGTGTGTTCCTCTCTTCTGCTCTTTTGCTTTTCTCCACCTTCTCGTGCCGCCACCCTGCGGGCAGTCCAGTGCGTAGCCATTCCGCGCGCTTTCACGAGTCGCTTCGCCCTGGTTTCGTCTCTCCGAGCACTTTGCCCTTCCCTTTCTGCGCTTCCTGCCGGCCTGCCGTGGCCCCCCCCTTCCCCCCTTATGGTGCCGTCTCTCCGCGCAGGGATTTCCAGTCCTCGTGCGTTGCGCAGCGTTTTACTACACTTACCACTCTACCACCGTCGTTCGGCAGGTGTTCTCCCGTCTTACGAGCTCGTGCTACGTCCCCGCTTGGGAGGTCCAGCGTCGCGTGGAGCGGCACCTCTCTGCCATCCGCGCCCAGGTGGTGATGCTGTCCTGAAGCCGCGATCGTTCAACATGGAACGACCCACGCGGTGACAGAAGCCCAAACCGAAGTCGCCACGACACGAACATGCCGCATCCCCTTCGCCCCCCCCCCGCCCCCCTCCCCCCACAGAGGCCCAGCGTGCCCTCATTGCTGCGGACCGGACCGGGGCGCAGTGGCGGAAGCATGCTCGGCGGGCCCTGTGCCTCCGGATGCTCGGCATCGCAGGTTCTCTCCGCCAGGGGCTGCCTCGCTGCTGCCCCCTCGCGTCCTCCTCCGGGAGGGGTTCCTGCGAAGATTCCGTGGGGCCACGAAGCCGCCAGGGCGACTCACGAGAGGGCGATCACACGATCACATGATTCGCATCCCCTGCGCTGGCGGTTTATCTTCATTCCTTCTGCCTGTAGCCCGTTCAGCGGTGCCACACCATCTTCTTACCCTCGTTCCTCCTCGCTCCCCGATCACCGCTCATCTCTCGTCGCTCCTTTTCCTCGCCCTTCTCTCCTCGATCCTCTCTCATCAGTCCTTTCCGTCCCCTCCTCCAGCGATGTTCATCTTTCCTACCTCCTTCCTCCCTATTCCCTGTACCTTGTAATCTCCCTGCTCATTCCTCCTCTTCCTCGTTCCCCGTTCTCCTCCATCGCCCCTTCTCCCTCATTTTTCTTCCCTTCGCTTGACAGGGGAAAGCTGCGGGGAAAAGGCCGAAGTCGGTGCGAAATACAGGTGTAGACAAGTTCGGGCAAACGTGACTGCCAATGTATATCAGAATACACGTGCAATGCACCTGGACACTTTCCTACATTTCCTTCGATTCTGAACGCGGTTCGCAAGTTGGATTGCCTTGCAGGGTTGATGTGCTAGGGCTCTCGGGCTCCATGATGCCCAATACATCAGCGGGATGCGGACCTGAGATGGAGGAGCAGGGAAGAGATGAAAGAAGAGAGAGAAGCAACGGTCAGGAGGGAGAGGGGGGCGGGGGGCAGAGGAGAGCGTTCAATAGGGAAAGAAAGGCAAGGGAAAAGGGGGGTGAGGAAGAGCGGGGAAGGAAGGATGGGGGACGAGGAAGAGCAATGATGACTTCTCCCTCCTTTCCACTCCTTCTCCCTCGTTCTCCATCTCCGCCTTCTCCCTCCTCCCTTCCTCCTCCTCCCTGTTCCCTGTTCCTTCCCTGCCTCCTCCCTCCTCCCTTCCTCCTCCTCCTCCTCCTCCTCCTCGTCCTCCGCCACCGCTGCTCGCGCCTGCGATTCGCATACGCGGCAGGTCGTTCCGTCGCTCATTCGAGGTTGGCGTGCTGCCGTGCCGATCAAGCCGCCCCCAGCAAAGCAGCGGCCGCCTCCCCGGTGGTTCAACAAGATGGACGTGGAGGCAGACGGCACTGCGCTCGTCAACGTGGATCGGCGCATGACCCCGCGAGGACTGGAGCACTTCTACACCGTGGAGAAGGATCGGGGGCCGTCAGCTGAGACCGCCTCACAGATCCTGGCCAGGCCGGTCCCCCGACCAGGATGCGCGTCTGCCGCCTCCCTGGCCGAGCGCAGGGGGCGCGTATGCACCGATCCAGGAGGAGGAGGAGGAGGAGGTGGAGGAGGAGGAGGTGGAGGAGGAGGAGGAGGGAGAGGAGGAGGAGGAGGGGGTATCTTGGGGGCCTTTGGGGGCCCTCTCGGGGCCCGGGACGGGCCCGGCCAGGATTGGTGAGGCGGTCAGCCGCTGCCCCCCGGAAGGAGTTCTACAGGGACGGGTTCCTGTACAAGGACCCTGGCGGGGCGCGGCCCTCTCCGCAGCCTCTTATGCCTGCTCTTATCCGTCGTCATCGTCATCGTCGTCGTCGTCGTCGTCGTTGTCGTCGTCGTCGTCGTTGTCGTCAAGTTTACCGTCACCGTCATCGTCGTGGTAGTGGTCGTCGTCGTCGTCGTCGACGTCGGCGTGATAATCGTCGTCGTAGTTGTTGACGTCGCCGTTGTACCCCTCCTTTGGCCTCCATCCTGCATGCTCCTCCACCCTCCTCCATCCTTCATCCGCCGCCTTGAACACTCCTTGTCGCCAGAGTTGAGGGATCAGAACCACCATCACCAGCACAGTCACCGTCACCATCACCACCACCCATCATCATCATCATCATCATCACCACCATCATCATCATCATCATCATCATCATCATCATCATCATCATCATCATCATCATCATCATCATCTGCATCATCATCGTCATCGTCATCATCATCATCATCACCATCTGCATCATCATCATCATCACCTGCATCATCATCATCATCATCATCACCATCTGCATCATCACCATCATCTGCATCATCATCACCACCATCATCATCATCATCATCATCACCACCACCCATCATCATCATCACCACCATCACCACCATCATCATCATCATCATCATCATCATCATCATCATCATCATCATCATCATCATCATCATCATCATCATCATCATCATCATCATCATCGTAAGCCTCATCGTAAGCCCCGTTGTCGTCATGAACGTCGCCACTCCTCCTCCCCTCCCCCCCCCTCCTCGGGAGCCCCGCCAGCAGAGCGGGCACCCGCCAGGAGTTCAAGTCCTCCTTCTTCGACGCGGGCGAGAAGGTGAGGCCCCAGCAGGCAGAGCTGCAGGAGAGTGAGAACGGGCGGGGGGGGGGGGCGGCCCGGCCGCGCCGCCGTCCTGCCGCGAACCCTGTCGGCGACCTGCGCCTACAGGGGAAGCCATGCCAATCAACGCCCTGCTTGCTGCCTCCAGGGTGCCCCGGGTTTCTTGGGCTTCGGCGGGTTTTGCCACGGAAAGCGTGGCGCTCCCCCACCAAAAATCAGTGGAGGTCCGGGGGTCCCAGGGTCGGGTCTCTGCGGAAGGTAAGGTTTCTTGTGGTCAAAACTCTGCTGTAAGAGTGGCCCTCGCCAGAGCGACATCCAGTGCGCGCCTTTCGGGGGGGGCCAGCCCGGGGCACGCAAGCCGCTACACCTGCGTGCGTCCGATCGCACAAGGCCTGGGCAGGGAAGGCGTTCGCGATTCAATGGCCGAGTCTTTGGGCGTTCCTCGTTCTTTCGAGGCCTCCTGGGGCGCCCTCGTCGTCCCTGCTGGATTTACGTCGGAAGTCTGGTCAGCCCGCACCCCTGGGCAGGTCGGGAAGTCGACCCTGATCCTCTTCTCTTCTCCCCAGAGGCCCTCCCGTCGTGATAAGTAGCGACGTTTCTTGCTGTTTGTTGCTCTCTCTCTCTCTCTCTCTCTCTCTCTCTTTTTTTCCACTTGAGGCATCCGGGGGCCCTTGCCCGGCCCCAGGGCTGTCAAAAGTGGCTCAGGATGAAGCGTCGGTAGGGGGGAAGGGGTCGCGACCTCTGGTGGTCCTCCTGGCGACCAAGTAAGTGACACCGTCGGGGGTCTGGGGGGTGGCACGCCTTCTGGGTCCCCGGTGGCCCCCCGCAAGGCAATGTGGTCGCATGCCACCCGGGGCGTTGCAGAGAGGGCACCGCCATCGAGAGGCAGGGGGGGGAGGGTAGAGGAGGGGGAGGGCGGAAGGCAAGCTATAGGTGCGCACGCGCCATATCTGACGTCCTGCCACGCCCTCCCATCCCTTACCATGGGGGGCGGAAAAGAGGGGGTGATGACTAGGGGTGGGTGGGTATCATGGCGTGGGCCATGATATTTCCCCAGATCTCATTGCGCCTCTTCTTATTTCTTTACGTCCCTGGCCCCCCCGCTGGGCCGCGCACATGCCGCCGGTCATGATTTGCACCCCCCCCTCTTGGACACCCCCCTCTTGGCCGCTCCCGATACCATGGGGTAGATCTCCTCTCTATTCGCGCAGTCAGATGTCGAGCAGGGCAGTGATCCCGAGAGGGTGTGCGATGCATCGTAGAGCACGGCATAGCAGGGCGTAGAACAGCACGGCAGAGCGTAGTATGTCATAGCACGGCGTGGCGTTGCGTAGTGACGAATTGCATCACAAAGCATCGCAACGCAAATAGTGGCATCGCACAGCGGCACAGAACATAACATGCCAAAACATGGCGTTGAAGATCAAAGCGCAGCATGGCATAGCATGGCGTGGCACTGCGTACTCAAGCACTGCATATCCTAGCATTGCAGCTGAAGGCATGGCATCGCACACAGCGGAACACCACATAGCATTTCATTGAATGCCGTGGCATGGCACTGGCAATAATGACGCGAGCGCTGCAGCGGGAGCACGATTGGGAACGAGCGGAAGCGCGGAAATGAGGCCAGCGTTGCAGCGGGAGCACGATTTGGAACGAGCGGAAGCGCGGAAAGAAGGTCAGCGTTTCAGTGGGAGCAACATTTTGGAAACTTCGCCTGGGGAAGAACCCAACCATATGCAGGTGTGGGTACAGCCGTTGTATGCACATCATTCGGAAGGGCTCCCTATGAGGCCGCGAAGCATGTGACGGGTGTGCCAAAGTGGGCTCGGTGGGCGCATGCGACTGCTGGCGTTTGGGCTTTCGGTGAGGCTACCTGTGGGGCCACGAAACGTGGCGGTAAGGGCAGAAGGAATCGCGGCGCCGAAGCCCTCCCCTGTGGAAGTGCTTCGTGGGTCTATTCTGTTGAGCGCCTCGACCGTCTCCCGCGTGTGCGCGGTGGGATGGGCGCGTGCGATCGCTGGCATTTGGGCTTTCGGTGGGGCTCCCTGTGGGGCCACGAAACGTGTGAAGGGTGTGCCAAAATGGGTGCGGTGGGCGCACGCGAACGCTGGCATTTGGGCCTTCGGTGGGGCTCCCTGTGGGGCCACGAAGCGTGCGAGGGGCATGCCAAAATGTGTGCGGTGGGCGCATGCGAACGCTGGCATTTGGGCATTCGGTGGAGCGGGGGCCACGAAGCGTGTAAGGAGTATGCCAAAATGAGTGCGGTGAGCGCATACGAACGCTGGCATTTGGGCATTCGGTGGAGCTCCCTATGAGGGGTGCCCAAACATGGGTCACGAAGCGTGTGGGGGTGCGCAAAAATTTGTGCGGCGGCCGCGCGTGCGAACGCTGGCATTTGGGCCATCGATGTTGCTCCTTATGAGGCCGCGAAGCGTGTGAGGGGTGTGTCAAAATGAGCGCGGTGGGCGCAGGCGAACGCTGGCATTTCGGCATTCGGTGGGGCTCCCTATGAGGTCACGAAGCGTGCGAGGTGCATGCCAAAATGGGTGCGGCGGGCGCATTCGAACGCTGGCATGTGGGCTTTCGGTGGAGTTCCTTGTGGGGCCACGAAACGTGTGAGGGGTGTACCAAAATGGGTGCGGCGGGTGCATGCGAACGCTGGCATTTGGGCCTTCGGTGGGGCTCCCTGGGGGGGCACGAGCCGTATAAAGGGAGTGCCAAATGGGCGCGGTGGGCGCATGCGAACGCTGGCATTTCGGCATTCGGTGGGGCTCCCTATGTGGTCACGAAGCGTGCGAGGGGCATGCCAAAATGGGTGCGGCGGGCGCATGCGAGCGCTGGCATGTGGGCCTTCGGTGGAGCTCCTTGTGGGGCCACGAAACGCGTGAGGGGTGCACCAAAATGGGTGCGGCGGGTGCATGCGAACGCTGGCATGTGGGCCTTCGGTGGGGCCCCCTGTGGGGCCACGAAACGTGTAAAGGGGTATGCCATGATGGGCGCGGTGGGCGCATGCGAACGCTGGCATTTCGGCATCCGGTGGGGCTCCCAATGGGGTCACGAAGCGTGCGAGGGGCATGCCAAAATGGGTGCGGCGGGCGCATGCGAACGCTGGCATTTGGGCCTTCGGTGGGGCTCCTCGTGGGGCCACGAAACGTGTGAGGGGTGTACCAAAATGGGTGCGGTGGGCGCGTGCGAACGCTGGCATTTGGGCCTTCGGTGGAGCTCTCTGGGGGGCCACGAAACGTGTGAGGGGTATGCCATGATGGGCGCGGTGGGCGCATGCGAACGCTGCCATTTGGGCCTTCGGTGGGGCTCCCTATGGCGCGACGAAACGTGTGAGGGTCGTGTCAAAATGGGTGCGGTGGGCGCATGCAAATGCTGACACTTGGGCCGTCGGTGGGGCCCCCCATGGGGTCACGAAACGTGTCAGGGGTGATAATGATGATGACGATGATGACGATGATGACGATGATGACGATGATGACGATGATGACGATGACGATGACGATGACGATGATGATGATGATGATGATGATGATGATGATGATGATGATGATGCTGACGATGATGATGATGGTGATGATGATGATGATGGTGATGATGCCGGGAATCCTGTGGGCAAAAAAGGAATCCGCGGAGGGGGTCCGAACATCTCCCAGACGTCATCAGGGGAGAGAGGAGGAGTAGTAGTCATATTGTGTAATTGTGGAGGTGCTGATCAGCGGCGAGGCGTCAGCCGACGGTATTGCTTTTTCGCGGGCCCTGCGCGGCATTGTCGCAAACTTCTAAAACAACTTGGGCAACGAAAAAACCAATCATTGGATGGACTGATATGTATACATATGTATACATTTGTAAATGTATAGGTGTGTAAGTGCTGTACGCACATGTGTATATACACGTGTACGGATATTCGTATCCTTTGCGTATCCATCCTTGCTCTCTCTGTGGTATATATATATAAATACATACACATGTACATACATACATACATACATACATACATACATACATACATACATACATACATGCACACATGCATACATACATACATACATACATACACACATATACATACATACATACACACATACATACATACATGCATGCATGCATGCATGCATGCATACATACATACATACATACATACATACATACATACAATCAATACATGCATGCATCTTACATATATATACACATATATATATATATATATATATATATAGAAGGCGAACCCTGGCACCAGGATCCGGGAACCCGGGAACTGAGCCGCCCACCGAGACCAATCTGGAACCTGGAACCCAGAACCGGGAACCCAGCCGCCCACCGAGACCATTCCAGACCCCGGAAATTGGAACCCAGAACAGGGGACCCAGGAACCCAGACGCCTACCCAGATCGGCAGCGAATTTTCGCCAAATCTTTCAATATCCGCTTGACAGTGCAAGCGCTGATTGGGGAAAACAAGGCATCTGAACGGGCAGCCCTTTCGCTTCTGCCGACTGCAGACACTCGACCAGCGATAGCTGCCTCACTCACTCCCGCCTGCCCCCTTTTTCGTCGAGCCCTTCGATCCCGTCTCGGTCTTGACGCCTGCCATCTCCTCATCTTCCTCACGAATGGACTCGAATCCGAGGTTCTGGTGCTGCTCAACGTCCGTCGCCCCGAACTGGCTCGACCACCACCCTGAGGAACTCTGGCACCAGGTCGCGAAGCTCACACGCTCCTCGGTGCCTCTCGCGATCGTCTTGATGGCTTCGTTGTACTCCGGCTCCGAGGGGGCGGCCGGGCTCACCTTGCAGCCCTCGACGCCTGATGCCGAGCCTGCCTCCGACGTCTCCTGCTTGGTTGAGCTGCTCCACGGCTCTCTCTGCAAGCATGTCGAGCAGCTCCTCCGTGCCCGGCGCGACCGCCGGGAGGCCTGACCGTGTCTGTAGCACTGGGTTCGGGGCTCGAGAGGCGGGGGTCAATGCAAGCGGGGGTTCTTCAGAGCGCCGGATCTTGCTGGATCCGCAGAGCCAG